GCCTCGGTTGCAGAGGAAGGGAGTGGGGATACATGTTGCTATACTGCTTTCCCAAAGGGCATGCCCGGAGCATGTACCAGTTTTGAACATTCCTGCACGTTGGAAAACCGTTTTAGTAAGTTTGACACCTGTTCGCCTGTGAAGATGCTTGTTGCGCTGTCAGCTGAGGAAAGCCCCGTCTGCGGCATCAGCTGGAGGAGAGCCCCGCCCGCCCGCCCGCGGCATCAGCTGGAGGAGAGCCCCGCCCGCGGCATCAGCTGGAGGTGGCTTTCAGCTGTGCCTCTCCTCTGGAAGCCACACTGGGGTTTGCACAGATTGTGGCACCTGGGAAGCGTGGCGACCGCTCTGTGAAGCCTTTGTTTTGTTTTCAGACAATGAACATCTATTTATGGATCTGGAGCAAAAGCTCAGCAAGTACTTGCCAAAAGACTGGTAGAGAGAAATGTATCAAGTAAGTCTGGAGTGTCGGGTGGGAGAGGCAGGGCACCACCGTGGGCTGTGCCGGGCCACGGGGACGCGTGGGGTGGGGGAGGGCACCGGGGTGGGGTGTGCTGGGCCTCGGAGATATGTGGGGTGGGAAAGGGCACCACAGCAGCCAGTGCTGGGCCGTTGGGATGTGCAGCCTCGTGTCCATGCACCTGCTCCATCCAGAGGGGCCATTTGCAGGGGGACTGCAATGAGCCCCAAGGGTGCAGGCAGGTGAGCCCACGCCGATCCCACCTTCGCAGATGGTCTTGAACACTGTAGAGTCTGTCTCCACTTAGAGTTTTCTGGTTAGTAAATACCGTGAGTCAGGAGATGTCAGCTGTGGCTGCGGACGCCTGAGCTTCGGCTTTGAGCTGGGCGTGAAGCAATTCCAGACCCCCACACTGGGAAGACAGGACAGCGGGGGCACCTCTCTGCGGCTCACACGTTTTCTTGTATTTTCCCTACCAGGGAAGCAGGAAATGCAGAGCCCCCTTCGTGGCCTTCCTCCGAGTGCGGCACTACGTGGAAAACGGAAGGATCGCGAGGTGACCGCGCTGACTTGCTTTCCTGGAATGTTGAAAATCTGCCACGTGAACAGAAGTCCTGTGAAGGCCACACAATACATTTGAATTTATACTAAAAAATGAAAATAAATACAAACAACCCACTCTATTGGCTGTTTAGGGGAGCACAGGAATTCTATTTAATTGAAATGCATACAGGCTGTGTCATAAAGTGGCACTTCTTCAAACACGGGACTTGTCCTCTGTAGGGTGGGGATGCCATATGCAGGCTGCGGGTGATGCTTCTGGAGGCTGCTGGGTGGAGGGCTCCTTGGTGGCAGTAAGTCACCTGCGCTCTGCTCCAGGGAGAGTGTGGGCCTGTGCCAAGCTGGCCCTGCAGGGACACAGCTGTGGGTGTCACAAGACAGGAACAAGGTGCCAGGGGCTCAGATCAACCCCAGGAGCTGGCATGGGGAGGGACAAGGCAGGGCCAAAGGGGCTGACAGTCCCCACACTCACTCCCTGCTGCCTTCCAGTGACCCCCGGGCACGACACCTGTACTACTGCCACCTGAAGGAGCGCGTGCTGCGGTCCCAGTGCGCCCACCAGGAGGAGGCCTACTTCCTGCTGGTCACCTGTGCGTTGCAGGCTGACCTGGGCAAGCACCGGGAGCCGACCCAAGCCAGGAGGTACTTCGAGCCTCACTCCTACTTCCCACAGTAGTAAGGTTGGAGCCACAGCCTCCCAGCACTGCTAGCCCAGCTCTGTCCGCCTCCACTGGGTCCATCCACAGGAACACGGACTGGGGGCCTGGCAGGGGCAGCTGGAGGAAGAGTCAGGGCATGGAAACGGGGCAGCCATCTGTCCTTTCCTCCTCAAGGCCCAAGGGGCCTGCCCATCCCCCAAAGCCAGGCAGTGTGAGAGGACTGGCCGGGAGCAGGCTGGTCTGGATGCCTGTGCCCCCGGCCAGCTGTGAGGCCTTGCTCGCGTG